ATTCCACAACTTGAGGTGAAGTCTCCTGGTATTGTTTGGCAGTGACCTTATTATCAATTACATAAGCACCCACACCTGTCTTTGACCCATCTGTGTAAACGACCACTCCATCCGGGAGCGGCTTTTGAGATAAGACATGTGGAAATACAATAGCTTGAGTTAAGGCAAACTGTAAAATGGGATGTTTAGGGTAGTGATTATCTATTTGACCATTAAAGGAGGTAACCAACACGGCCCAAACATCAGAGGTAGCAGTTAATATTTGAACTTGATGTGCAGTATAAGGCACTATTAAAACCTTAGGCTCCCTTCCAAAATGAGTGACAGCTGCTTTTAATCCCCGTAAGGCAAGCTGAGCAACCACATCTGGATACCATTCAATAATCTTTGCAGGAGATGCATTAGGATGAATCCATAATAAGGGCCCATCCTGCCATAACACGGCAGTTGGTAAATGTCTGGTTTTAAAGACACACAAATTAAAAGTTTTGGTCTCATCAATGCGTTTTAGCTGAGCTTTTTGCAAGGCATCCTCCACCAATCGCAGGGCATGATTTGCAGCCGGTGTTAATGCTCTTGGTGAGGAAATATGGGAATCTCCTTTTAGAATGTCAAACAAAGGTTTTAATTCAGCAGAGGGAATTTTCAAAAATGGTCTTAACCAATTTATATCACCTAGTAACTTTTGAAAGTCATTTAAGGTATGTAAATGATCTCTGCGAATTTCTAATTTTTGAGGAACTATTTTCTCAGGGTAAATAACTGTCCCTAAAAAGGAACCGATTTCTGAAATTTGAACCTTCTCTGTGGCAATATGCAGACCCCGCTGTCTTAATGTAGCAATTAATAAAGGATATGAGTTCTGCAAAGTGGTCAACTCTTTATGGCATATTAAAATATCATCCATAAAATGAATCAAGAGTAGAGAAGGAAATTGTTTCTTAACAGGTTCAAGGGCCATTTGTACATACAGCTGACATATGGTAGGACTATTGGCCATGCCTTGAGGCAAAACTTTCCACTGATATCTTTTGTCTGGTTCAAGATGATTAACAGCAGGCAAAGTGAATGCAAATCTTTGCCTATCTTGCGGGTGTAGGGGAATGGAGAAAAAGCAATCCCTAATGTCTATAATTATTATCCTCCACTGCTTAGGTAAAGCAGAGAGCAGAGGCAGGCCTCGTTGCACTGAGCCAAACAGCTGCATCTGTTTATTAATGGCCCTTAAATCATGGAGAAGTCTCCATTTTCCTGATCTCTTTCTTATAACAAAGATAGGGGTATTCCAAGGAGAAGTAGAAGGTTCTAAATGACCAAGCTGTGCCTGTTCCTCAATCAGCCTTGTAGCAGCTTCCAATTTCTCAGAGGATAAGGGCCACTGAGGAACCCACACGGCTTCCTCTGTAAGTCAAGGTATGGGCAAGGAGCCCTCAGTGGCAACTAGGGAAAACCCAGACCTTGTCTTCCTGTATTACTTTCTTGTAAAATTGGGTTTAACCTTCCTTGTTCTTTTCTACCAAGGCCTTTTCCTTCCTTATATCCCATTCTTTTCATAATATTAATAACTTGTTGAGAATACTCATTAGTTAGTGTCAGTCCTAAGTCTTGTAAAATGTCTCTTCCCCAGAGGTTAACGGGGAGAGGAAGCACATAAGGTATAAAGCTTCCTGTCTGACCCTCTGGCGTCTTCCAAGTCAAGGAGCGTGAACTGACTGTAGGGTTGGCCTCATATCCCAACCCTTGTAAGGAGTTGGATGATTGTGTAACAGGCCACACCTTAGGCCACCAGTTGGAGGAAATAATACTTTTATCAGCTCCTGTGTCTAAAATTCCTGTAAAACTCTTCCCTTCTATTGTTAATTGTAAAGTGGGTCTAGTTTTGAGATCCACTACTAAATAAGCAAAGTCAGTTCCTGAAGAACCGAACCTATTGGCACCTCTTGGCGCCCCGGTGGATGGAAAACAATTATGTAGACTTGGAAGAATAACCAACTGAGCAATCCTATCTCCAGGGGAGATGGAAAATATGCCTTGTGGACAAGAACAGAGAACTTGAAGTTCTCCCGTATAATCTTGGTCTATCACCCCAGGATGAACCACAAGCCCCTTCAAGGTAAGAGAGGAGCGGCCTAGAATAAGGCCAACGCTTCCCTCAGGCAGGGGACCTTTAAAATCAACCGGGATAGGTTGCACACCCTCATATGGCATTAATAAGAATTGGGAGATAGAGCGGAGGTCCAACCCTGCGGAACCTCTTGTAGCTCTGCAGTTAGAGGTCTCCCCCGGTTGTAGGCTTGTGTCCCATATTTTTTCGGGCCCTGAGACCTTGGGCCTGGATATTCGTTTTTTGAAATGTCTTCATCTCTTTCTGTAGGGGAGGGATCATGTTGAATAATCCTTCCCCGAATGTCCTTAACCGAGTGACACTCATTGGCCCAATGATATCCCTTCTTGCACTTAGTACATAACCCAGGGGTTTTCTTTTGTATAGGAGTACGACATTCTCGTTTCAAATGACCTGGTCTGCCACAATTATAACATACTTTACGGCCGCCAGGACTTGAGCGGTTCTGGCCTTGCAGGATAGCTGCTGCCAGGCCAGCGTTAGTCAGTGGGCCTCCAAGACCTTGGCAGACCTTTATCCAATCTGTCAGCCCTTTGTTTCTCCTAGGGGCAATAACTGTCTTACATTCTGGTGAGGCATTTTCATATACTAATTGTTCGATCAATGGCTTGACTTGCTCTGGGTCTCTAAAAATCTTGCCTGCTACTTTTGTCATTCTAGCAACAAATTCTGAAAAGGACTCCTGGGGGGCTTGTAATATTTTTGTTAAATTTCCTCCAGCCTCGCCCTTTTTCGAGAGGGCCTTCCATGCCTTAATTGCGGCGGTGGACATCTGGCCATATGCTTCCCAATCATAGTTAATCTGGTCGGCAACATACTGTCCTTGCCCTGTTAATAATTCAAAAGTCTACTGTCTCTGATTGCCCTCCGCATTAGCGTTGGCCTTTGTCTGTGCTTGAGAAGCGTCGTGCCACAAAGCCTTTCATTCCATATACTGTCCCATATTAGGGAGAGCAGCTTTTACTGTGTTCTGTCAATCATTCGGAGTCATTGCCATAGTGGCAAATCTCTCAAGCTGTATAATTGTAAAATTAGCATCAACTCCATACTTGTTAACTGATTCAGCGAATTCTTTAATAGAAGCATACTCTACAGGTGCGTGGACACGACCTCTTCCTGCGTCCTCACACACTGGAAAAGCTTGTAACATTTTTCTCTTGTCTTCCTCTGAAAGGAAGGAGCCTGAGCAGTGCCTGTCCACATAAGGCGGAAGTGCGCCGAGAACATTAGGTTGGGAGGGCGCTACAGGCCGAGAGGCCATCCGGCTTCTATCTCTCGTTTTCCTCTGCTTTAGATTTCACGGCGGCAACTGTTTATCTGGCTGGCATCTTTCCTCTTCATCTATCTCTTCATCTGAGTCCTCTGAGGAAGTTATCCCCTCTAACTCAGAGGCATCAAGCCTCAAAACTTCCTTTACCGGATAAAGAAATCTCTTTCTGAGGCTTACTTTCCTCCCGTCTCTCCCAAGGGTGTTCTTCCCCTCATCTTTCATCCCCGTGGATTGTTCCTTGGGGAGGCTTAATTTCTTTAATATAACCTTTTTCCCTTATCCTTTCTGAATTTCTAAGCGCTTCCTTCTTTTCTCTGTTTCTGACATGCTAACCTGTATTCTGTCTGCCACTCCCCAAACCGCCACGAAAACCAAAAGGAAGAGAACTAACGCTACCAGCACCATAGCGAGAGCCTCTAAAGTTCCTGCCAACTGGGGAGGGAAATAAATTAAATCAAGTCCAAACATATCTCTCAGAGAGCATTACCTTGTTCTACGGTTCTGGATTCACTCCACGCGTAGAGGACGAGTGGAGGGCCTTCTTAAACAGCTCCGGCGATGGTAAATTCTCCGGGGTTTCTCGGCACCAACTGTGAGGCGCGCGTGTAATCGTCTCACCAGCAAGAATGCACCACACACACACACCAGAATCCTTCAGTAAAAACACGTTTATTCCCAAATACAAAATGGTGGAAGAAGACGCCAGGCCCAGGAAAAACACTGCTTAATATACCTTAGAGCGGTACATTCACCTCTGATTGGCTGCTTACTCATAGCGTGCCAAACGCCGTGGAATGGGCTTTAACTTTGGCAGGCCTTTTCCATGGCACATGCGCAATTCACCTATTCACCAGGAAAAATCCCGGATGTCAGGCAAACGCGGCTTTAGCCAGCTTCCTACAATCTCAGAGGGGGAAAAGCTGTATGATGTTCATGGAATTGTAAGATTACTATGGTAAAATGGCCATATTACCAAATGCAATCCCCAGGAAAAGTCCAATTCTTGGCAGATAGTGAAAGACCATTTCTCAACTTCATATGGAATAACAAAATAACCCAGGACTGCAAAAAAATACTGAATCATATTTTTCAAAGAAGCCTTAATAGCTCTAGAGCTGTGCAGATATCAACTCTCTATTCTATTTTGACTATGTCACTGTCAATATCCCGAGGAGATAACTTGTCATGATCTCTCTGTTCTGCTCCTATTTTAACAGGCCAACCCTCATGTTGTCATGATTCATTTACCCCAGGGTGTGTTTGCATGACGTCTTTTCCAGTTCCCCTTGTTTTCTCTCCTCAGACCCTAAGCTTTGCAATCAAAGTCACACATATCTCTCCTCTGTCCAACCATTTGATGTAGGCATCTTTGTTCATCCAATAGTGTTAAATTAAAAGAGAAAAGTTATATAGCATCATTCGGTTTATGTGAGGTTTTCATCAGAAACTGAAGATCTGAGAAGTCGGAAAATCTCCCATGTGCATGGATTGGCAGGATTAATATAGTAAAAATGGTCATCTTGTCCAAAGCAATCTACAGATTCAATGCAATCACCATCAAAATTCAAACTCAATTCTTCATAGAGATAAGATGAGCAATTTGCTGTGCTCGCTTCCGCAGCACATATACTAAATTTGGAAGGATACAGAGAAGATTAGCATGGCCCCTTCACAAGGATGACACGCAAATTCGTCAAGCGTTAATAAAAAAAAAAAAAAAAAAAAAGATGAGCAATTTGCAAATTCATTTGGAATAACAAAAAACCCAGGATACTGAAAACTGTTCTCGACAATAAAAGAACTTCTGGGGGAAGCATCATCTCTGACCTCAAGCTGTACTACAGAGCTATAGTTATAAAAACTGCATGGTATTGGTACAGAGACAGACAGGAAGATCAATGTAATAGAATTGAAAACCCAGAAATGAGCCCACATGCCTATGGTCACTTGATCTTTGACAAAGGAGCTAAAACTGTCCATTTGAAAACTGGGAAAAAAGACAGCATTTTCAACAAATGTTGCTGGTTCAACTGGAGGACAACATGTAGAAGAATGAGAATCAATCCATTCTTATCTCCTTGTACAAAACTCAAGTCCAAGTGGATAAAGGACCTTCACATAAAACCAGATACAGTGAAACTAATAGAAGAGAAGGTGGGGAAGAACCTAGAATACCTGGGCACACGGGTAAGTTCCTGAAAAAAACATCAATGCCTTATGCTCTAAGATCAAGAATTGGCAAATGGGACCTCATAGGGAAAAGATGTTTACCAATCCAACATCCTATAGAGGGCTAATATTCAATATATACAAAAACTCAAGAAATTGGACTCCAGACAACTAAATAACCTATTAAAAATGAGGTACAGAGCCAAACAAAGAATTCTCAACGGAGGAAACTCGAATGGCTGAATAGCACCTAAAGAAATGTTCAACATCTTAGTCATCAGTGAAATGCAAGTCAAAACAA